TTTATAAGTACCAATGAGTATATAATTATACAAATGAGATCTTCCAGAGCATCGTGTTTGAAAAAATATGCCAAAAATGCATTTTCATATTAACATTTCAAAGAAGTTGATATTTTGAGTTTCTAGTACACTTGCGGCGGCCTGTTTACTAACGTTTTTGTGGTATAAATATAACTACGAACAGAACTACTTACTGGAATTTAATCATAGTTAAATAATATTCACGTAAAACATCCTATTAAACGTAACTGAACATCATCATCAAACACATTTGACATTTGACGTATTAGCCACCGTCCATTATTTTATACAAATTACGCTTCTACAAAAAAATTCAAACTAAAAATGTAAAGTTTTAACGCGATTTTGAAATAATATCTCACCTTTGCGACAACCTACTGATTAGCACGAATTTTTCAAGACTAAGACTGGCCAAATCGGTTTAGCCGTTTTCAAGTTTCACCGGATCATTTGATTGAGAGCTTCATTTTATATATAAGATATATCATAGTTAATTCAAGGCCGGTTAAGCAACTGCTTAACCGACTTTCAATCGATTTTTATCAATTGGTCATTTACCATATTTATTATTTCCCAGGATTATTCCTCCAAACCGACCAGAGCCAAGGCCCACAGCAGCATCGGAAGCAGCCAAGAAGCCTTGATAAGTTCCACCCAAGAAATTCCTTCAACGTCGCAGAACAATTCCAACTCTACGTCCAATTCATCGAATGCAAATCGTTCTGGTGCAGTTTCCAAACAGGGTGAAGCCCCACGACTGGCCAGGGCCACTCAGGGCGGCGGAGTGTCTCGCAGAGAGAATTTTGAAAGGATAAAGTTGAAGGTGGAGCAGGCTTCGAGTATGAAGGAAGCCGCCAGGATCGCTCATGAGGCTCTTATGGCCGAAAATGAAAGGTGGGGAAAAAGGATAAATGATAGACAGATTTTGTCCTGGATGTAATTTTGCCAAATCTAGCAAATATAGATTATATTATTTTTGAAGTAAATCAAATTTCAATTCAAAACAGGCATGATTAAACAATTTACTTGATTTATTTTTAACTTCCCGTAGGGCAAGTTATAGTAATCGCAAAAAAATCGAAAATGAAAATTTCTGCATTTCTCGACGTTTCAAAGGTTTCTGAAAATGGCATAAGAAAATGGATGTGTGTGTGTGTGTGTGTGTGTGTATGTATGTGCGGATACAAATTTTCGTCGACGATTTCGGGAACACCGATCAACCGATTTGAATAATTCAAAAAACATTTGATTCGTATTGATAAGGAGACGTGCTGATTAGTTTTTGGCGAAGGCACGTCTAGCCGTTCCGAAGATACGGGGAAAAAAGTGCCAAAAACGGTAACTCAGTTTTTAAGAGAACGGAGCGTCCGATTTCAATAATTCAAAAAACATTTTACTTGTATTGACAAGGTGAAGAACCGATCAAATTTTCATAAAGGCAGGTCGAGCGGTTTCGGAGATCTAATGAAAAAGAAAAAAAAAATGTCATTTGACGGTCAAAAATGATCATTAGACATATGCACATGAAATTATCAGATATTTTATAGAGATTTTAACAATAAGTATAATTTTTTTTTACATTCCTATGGGTTCCGTACCAATGTATGATATGACCTTTGATATTTCGTCTTTATAAAGTTAAAGCAGTGCGATTGCTTTGAAAAAAGTTTAGATCTTCCAAAATATGTCAAAATAAAGAAAATTTTTTTTTTCAAAAAAAAGTAATTTTTTGTCCAATGTATAGTTTCTCAAACATCTTATTTTTTTTAAGTAAAATTTTTTCAAAAATGATTGTTTTTTAAACAAATAATTTTTGGTACGGGAAGTTCCAGCAATTTGCCTCAAGGCACGATGCCTTAATTGCCTTAAGACAGAATTCCACTTACAGCTAGTTTTAATATGTGAATTAATATTTATAGATGGGAAGCAGAACTACAAGCTATGGTTGACGAACATGTTAAATCGATTTTGTTCGAGGTGAAGAAAAGGCAATGGGTGAGTCTCTTTGATTTCATTATATATATATATATATATATATATATATATATATATATATATATATATACTACCAAACCCGACGAACTCCATTTCGCCACCAGTTGGTTTCGTGAGAAAGATGAAGAAATTTTTTGTTTGTTTTATATTTGAAAAGGAAAAAAATGATTTTATTACACAACAATAATGAATTTATTTGGATTACAAAAATGAAGTCTTTTTAGTTGAACTTCTTTAAGTAAATGAAAGTGAATCCGCAAATTATCCGTTTCATTGAAGTGCTCTTTGATAAACCACATTTTTTGCTTTCCGGTCTGACGTTAACACAAACAAAGCGAGTGGTTTTCCAACTCTTGAACAGGCAACGTATAACTGCCCATGTGAAAGACAATGATTTTCTTAATAATCTATTTGAAATTTATCCCGCAAACACTAAGCGATTGGCCTTGCGACTTGTTATTGCGAACACAAGGCGAACTGGAAATTGCAATCGTTTGAAGTCAAACGGAAGACCAGTCGGAATCATTGGTATGTCACCAAATCGCCAGCAATTTTTGATTGAATGGTGAAATTCAGGGCGTGTACATCATTATTCTTTGCGAGAAGAATTGCTCGTTGACTTAACCAAGCATAATTTTGATAAATCTCTCTAATGTCATTACTCGAATTTTTAATTACGGTGCGTGAAGTTCCAGCAATTTGCATTAGGACACGATGCCATGCACCACTAATTTTCTTATCTGTAAACCTTGCGGAGCCCGATATCTTTCCAACGAATGCAAAATTGTCGAAATCGGTTCGTACGTTCTGGAGTTATATCGTCAGGAAGGAAAACCCGACTTATTTTTATATATATAGAAGATATATATGATAAAATTTGTTCTTGGGCATCCATCCAGTAATTAAAAACAGTTTTATTGAAGAAAAATGTTTTTATTATGAAAACATACGTTTCGGGTCTTGATTTGACCCATCTTCAGTGCTACAATTAAATATTTCAGGGTTACAATTTAAAACAATTTAAAAAATACATAATTACAGAAAAATATAAATAAAAACATGTAAAAACAGCATAGACCTAATCAATTTAATAAATTTGTTTTATAACTAATATATATTGTGAAAGTAAAAAAAAGTTCATATCCTTTAGTGCTAAGGGTTGAACGCCCTCAATACTTTTTTTGATTAATTGGTTCAACTTTTTTAGAATATCCTTAAGTGTTTTTTTTTTGTTTTATGTGAATAAACTTTTTCTATGAAAATACATTCAGCCCTAAATTTTCTCCCTTCTACCACAAATTCCTATTTTTTATAGCCATTTTAGTAATTCAATCATTTTTTATCTCGCATCCAGACATTGAATATTTTTGACATAATTTTAGTTCAGATTTTTTAGCTTGAAGATAAAGCTAAAATTTTACTTTATTTTTATTGATATTATGCCCGATTACTAGACTTTGTTAATATATATATATATATATATATATATATATATATTCTTATAATTAATCTTTTATCCTCTTCCAGTGTTACTATTGTGGAGACGAGGCAATATACTATTGCTGCTGGAACACTGCCTATTGTTCAACGACTTGCCAGCAACAGCATTGGCAAGCCGAACACAAAAGAGTCTGTCGCAGAAAAAGATAAACAACAACATGTTGCCAGTCATCAAAGAAGACGATGAACAACAACAACAGGTTATTATAATAATAAGAATTGTACACATAAATATATATATCATAAGGTTTTAATTTGCATATTATAGTATAAGTATTATTATCGAAAAAGGATTGTGAATAAAACAAATCGAGAAATTTAATGGACGGAGTTTTATAAGTTATTGAGTAGGTCGTATTATTAAAGTTTTATATTTGTAATATTATGATACATTAAATGTAGGTAGATTAGGAATGGATTGTTGGACGAGTGAGGAGGATTGAATGTTTAAGTTTATTGATTTATATATTTTTGAAATTATAAATAAATATTGACCTTAATGTTATCATAAATCGTTTTTGAATCATTGGGTAGATTTTTTAGAACAAATATTTATGTACATTCTTGAAATGTTTATTCGAAATAAAAAGTAATGAATAATTAACTATTTATATGTACATAATAAATATCAATACATAATGAACAAAGAACAAAACACACAAAATTAACGCCACGATAATATCAGAAACTAGCGGGGTGCATGGCATCGTGCCTTAAGGCAAATTGCTGGAACTTCCCGCACCGTAATGAAATATTCGAGAAATTTTAAACGTTTTCAAATATATTATTACAAATACTAGTATTTGTTTGTTACAGCTGTAACTTTCATTATTTTAGCTATCTTATTGTTATATCTGAGCAAATCAAATGTACATTATAAATAAATTAATTTAACTCCAGAACATTAACAATCGTCATTTCATTTCGAATTCAATTTAAACTAGCTGTAAGTGGAATTCTGTCTTGAGGCTATTATGGCATCGTGCCTTAAGGCAAATTGCTGGAACTTCCCGTACCGTAACGAAATGTTCGAGGAATACTGAATGTTTTCAAATAAATTATTATAAATATTTAGACCAAGAGCCAGTGAACCTTTTGAATAACGGTGTTCCTGTAAGGCTAAAAATTTTTGTACAGATGATTCTTAACGTGCTACGTACGGAAACGACAGTCTGGCAGGTTTTAGCCCTGCACATCATGGTCGTCCAGGCGTTTGAAAGTGTAAAAAATACCCGAAAATTAAACTTGTTCCTGTAAGGTTCAAATTTTTATACGATATAATTTACTCATTGAGAAATTCGAAAATCAATCTGCCAGACCATTTCGACCTGCACAAATACCTGCCAGACGAGCCGGAAAGTGAGCAAAAAATGCCCCAAAATAAACTTTGTCCTGTAAAGCTGAAATTTACATATGTGTTTATCTAAGCAATTCTAAAAAGGACTGTGCCATTGCCAGACCATTCTGGCTAGCATAAGCCCTTGCCAGACGAGGGCAAAAATGCTATGGCGGGAGGCGAGTAATAGGCGTTGCGTGAAAACTTATAGCGTATATTCAAACTATATTATGAGAAATTACAAATTATGGTCAAAATAAACTTAATTAGTTACAATAAAATATATATTATCATGAATTAATCATCATTATCAGATATATCGCTAACTAATACTTCAATTCAGGCTTCTATTAAGTATCTATTGAATTTTCTGAAAATAGGTGAAAGTTGGAAAGAAACATTTATTTCTGAATGCACAACGGAGGGTAAGAGATTTGAAGAAAAAATTTCACAGGTAAAAATTATGAATTTCTTCTTCAGAAAAAAAACCTATTAAATCTAATAATAAAATTCACGAAATTCGTGTCCAACGTGATTTGGTTGGTCACCTGTTAGCGCGATAAATCCAATATAATATTGATCTTGAAAAAACATTATCATATCTCATTACAATTGTTAGCTTCCCGAAGAAGTTTGTTTTCATCAAAAAATCCCATTCGTTAATTTTATGTTTTCTCGACGTTTCAAGCCATTCTAAATCGAATGAGACCAAATTTGGAAAAAGTATGTATGTGTGAACAGATTTTTTTCCGTAAGTAAATCGACGTTTTCTAAAAAACGACTGGACCGATTTAAATATCCATCAAAATTTGCAAAAATTGATATCGCTTTTTTGGCATTTGTCAAAATTAGACCTTTTATCAACGTTTGCTCAAAAACGCCGGAACCGATTTCAGAAATTCAAAAGCCATTTGATTTGTGCTACGATCTGCCATTTCTTTATAATTTGGAAAAATGTGTTAAACTTTTCATCCACATTTAAGCTCATACTACCGAATCGAGTTTAAAAATCAAAAACTGTTCGAAAGATATTAGTTGGGAATGATATTGATTAGTTTTAGGTGAAAATCTACCGAACCGTTTTCTTGTAATTAACTGTTGAAAACAAAATTTAAGCCAATTTTTATGGGACTTTTTTTGATATATATATCATGGTCTTATAGAACTTAGTGAAATATTACCGCATTACGACAAGTAGTTTAATTTTAAAAATTCATCAAAGATTGAGAAAATGAGTAGTTATTTTCACGTTTGTTAAAATTAAAATTGGACGATTTACTTGGTATAACGATAGAGTACTTGGTCTTAATGAACATACTGAACCATTAAAGTCCTACGAAAACTGGTTCAATTATAAAAATTATTGATTTGTGAAAATTTGCTTTTAGAAAATACTCCGAGTTAACGTGTTCGTTCGTTTTCAATTATGTGTAATAAATCCACTCGTAATACTTTTAATCACTCATGAATTATTTTTTATTGATTAAGTCGGGACGTTCATGTAACTTGCCTCAAGGCAAAATACGAATACCAACTAGTTTTAATGTCACTGTGCCACGCAGATGGAGTAAACCGCGATGGATAAAACCGCGAAATCAGCAATGATTGAAGTCTTACAAGCTAATATAACGATGAATCTTATGACGATGAAGTATTAATTAGCGATATATCTGATAATGATGATTAATTCATGATAATATATATTTTATTGTAACTAATTAAGTTTATTTTGACCATAATTTGTAATTTCTCACGCTATAAGTTTTCACGCAACGCCTATTACTCGCCTCCCGCCATAGCATTTTTGCCCTCGTCTGGCAAGGGCTTATGCTAGCCAGAATGGTCTGGCAATGGCACAGTCCTTTTTAGAATTGCTTAGATAAACACATATGTAAATTTCAGCTTTACAGGACAAAGTTTATTTTGGGACATTTTTTGCTCACTTTCCGGCTCGTCTGGCAGGTATTTGTGCAGGTCGAAATGGTCTGGCAGATTGATTTTCGAATTTCTCAATGAGTAAATTATATCGTATAAAAATTTGAACCTTACAGGAACAAGTTTAATTTTCGGGTATTTTTTACACTTTCAAACGCCTGGACGACCATGATGTGCAGGGCTAAAACCTGCCAGACTGTCGTTTCCGTACGTAGCACGTTAAGAATCATCTGTACAAAAATTTTTAGCCTTACAGGAACACCGTTATTCAAAAGGTTCACTGGCTCTCAGTCTAATTGTAACATTGTCTAATATTTATAAGAATTATATAAACTGAATTGCAGAGTTGAAATTATTTGTAAAGTATATTAGAACTATAGTCAGAAATAAAAATAAAATCTGAAATATTTTCGATATACAAAAAACTAAAAAAAGGGGGCAATTTTTTTTTCCAAAATCGATTATTTTGTTAAGACAAGCAGAAAGTTCTTTGAATCATTTAAATCGGACGCTTAGTTCTCTCAAAAACTGCCATTTTTTACATATTTAGCTCCGTATCTTCAAAATGGCTGTGCCTGCCTTTGCCAAAAACTAATAAACACTTCTCCCAATCATTACTAATTGAATGTTTTTTAGATCATTCAAATCGGATGCTCCGTTCTCTCAAAAATTCGATTTCTATTTTCTGCACTCTTTGCTCCGTATCTCCGAAACGGCTGGACCTGCCTTTGCCAAAAACTAATCAGCTCTTTTCCCTATCAATAGGAATCGAATGTTTTTTGAGCCATTCAAATCGGTTGATCCGTGCGCCCTAAAACGTGACTGGAAATTTGTATCCATACATACATACACACACACACACTCACACATCAGAAACCTTCAAAACGTCGAGAAATGTAAAAATTTTCAATTCCGATTTTCGGCCCATTACAATAACTTACCCTACGGGAAGTTAAAAAAAATAGTTGCCTAATTTACACAAAATTGAAAAAGTGCACCGATATAGTCACAGTCTAAACGCATTTGCAAATAATTCTGTGCGACATTTTCACTTATACTGTGCTTGCTTTGGCGTCATTTTCACATTTTTCAATAGTTTTTCACAAAATTGGAAAAGTGCTCTTAGTACATAAACAGTCTAAACGCACTTGGGTAAACATTTGTACCAGAGTGGCGCTTAGACTGTGCTTATCTTGGGTCATTTTTTCAATTTTTAATCCAAAATTACAAAAATATTTTTTGAAAAAAAAATTTAGTAACAAAATTTTTTTTTCAAAAGCAATTATTTTGTTGAAACAAGCAGAAAGGTCTTTGAATCAATTAAATCGGACGCTTAATTCTCTCAAAAACTGCCATTTTTTTAACATTTAGCTCTGTATCTCCAAAACCGCTGGGCCTACCTTTGCCAAAAACTAATAGCCACTTTTCCAAATAGATTATCTATTATAAATACATACTGTAAACTTATAAATGTTTTTTTAAATTAAGCGATATTCATACTTGTTTATCTATGGCGATATTCTAAAGACAACTTATGTGTATGTGTATAATACATTTGATCATTTATTTTGATTATTTAGACTTTTTTTCAAAATTTTGAAATTTTTTTTAGAAGTTTAAAATTTTTTGTATATTTTTTTAATTTTTTGAGAATTTGAACATTTTTTGAAAATATTTATTTATTTGAAAATTTTGAAATACTTTCAAATTTTTGTAAGAAATCTTTTTTTTTAATTTTGATATTTTTTGAAATTTTTAAATATTTAGTTTTTTTTTGAAAATTTTTAAAATTACGAATTTTTTTTAAAAGCATTTGAGCCTCTGGGAGCAAGGACATCCATATTAAGGGCCAGTCTAAAGTATATAGAAATAAATAAATTTAAACCTGGAACAAAAAAATCGTTACAAATAATTATTTAATTTTATTCAAATTATCTTGTTTTATTGTAAACAAATTCATACATTTCATACTTATTCTAATACAAATCTTACGCTATAGTCGTGAAACATTTATACTGTTTATTTTTACTATAATGAGCTAAAAAATATTGACGTTCATATAAATATACACATACATAATTTCAAAACTAATTAATAATTAAATAGAGTAAGAGTAGCATTCTAGAACCTACTCCCCTTTTAACCTTTGACAATAGCTCCAATGTTTTTTATTAAATTCTATTCAAAATTAGAAACATTTCAGAACAGGGGAGATAATTTTGTTTATTGTTAGGAAATAAGTTTTTGAGTGTTTTGTGAAAAACATATTCGTGTTTGAAAAATATGTACAGTTGGTAGTACATATAATTAAATAAACGGAACTGTTATGAATAAGAAAAATATTGAATAATATAATGTAAATAAATTTATGAATTTAAAATGATAACTATAGAAATTTTTATGATGTGATTATAAAATCAAAAATAATTTACACTTATACATAAAAATAATTTAAAAAAATTAACAAAATCAAAGATGTTTCTGAGGGCAATTCTTTATTGACTCAGCTATTATATAATACTCAGTATTAATATAATACTTAATATATAATTAGTATAATATATTATTTATTTAATCAATATTATTAACATTATTGGGTCTGACATATTCAGGTGTCCTTATGGCACTTGTGTAAAGTCTCGACTATCCATTATCTTTTGCCTTTAAAACGATCAGATATATTTATCATAGGCCTCTTCACATCATATTTTTTTACCAAAGCTCTCCAATTCTCCATGTCGATGCTCATAATGACTTGCTGTTCATCACCCGAGTGTTGTTCATCATCTGAGTGCTGTTCATTAGTCCGAGACTTTTTCAAAGGCCTCAACCACAATTCTTCATTTTCTTCAAAGAGCTCCACAGCTCTATCTCGAACTAGAAATGATACTTGGAAAATATTGTCAACGGTTTTCCAAAAGTCTTCAGGGTCTAGAACGATTTGAAAGTATTTTATGGGTTTCATTTTGTTGTCTTTGAAGAGTCTCATGATTTGGCTCTTAACTTTTTCCAGAATTGCTGAGGTTTCTTCGGTTTGTTCAGCCTTATCTATGCTATCAGGACAAGCAGATTTGGTTTCAACGGGATCCCTTTGGGTCCTCTGCCGTTTCTGCCTTACTTTTATTACAGGTGTTTCAGGATTGAAAGTAGCAAACATACTATGGCTGATCGGAGGACTTTTTAAACCCAACATGGAGGGATCAAATAACTCGAGCCATTGTTTACTTGAGGCTTTTACAATTGGTTTTAATCGGTTTGCTAATTTTTTGTGGGAATAGTTGTTGGTTGTTATCTGTAGGCATGCGATTTGGTTCCCAATTACATGGGCGGCATTGCTTACCAAATCGACGTCTTTGGTGACAACTTCAACGTTGCTCTGGTACTCTTTGACGATTGATGTTGCGTGATGCATGATCGAGCATATCTTTTGTAGCTTTTCAACATTGGGCATGTCGGATTGGGTCGCAACATTTTGGACCTGGGGGGTAAAAGAAAAACTTACTTTAAATCTGTGGTATTTGATCGTTTTTAATTTAGTGAAGGAGATGTTTATGAAAATTCGATTTGCCAAGGGGGCGTCCATTAATCACGTGATCAATTCTTTAAGGATTTATGGAAAATCCCTATCCTTTGGCGATATTTAAACATACCTTCCATTCCCCGCCAATCATCACGTGTAAAACAGGTAATACTGAATTATTTAGTATGGATATGTGTTAAAGATATATTATAAAAAGTGTAAAAACCGTCAATTTATTTGACAAAGTAAAGATTGTCATTATCAATTATACACATATGGTAAGACTGTATTATTCTTAGAAATCAAGCATCCAACGAATTGTAGAGAACCTTTATAAATGCTATATTTTATTGAATTGGCAAATTAGTTGGTTATTTATTTATATATATATATATATATATATATATATATATTTTTTTAATATTTACCCCAGTTAACAACTCATCAAGTTTGATAGTACATTCACTTTCTGCCATGGTTTTATTTAGAAAGCACAAAACACTATATATGAGTAGATCCTCGCAGTCTACCAGTATTGTTGAAAAGTATCAACACACAGTAGTAATGACAAACGCTTACCATGCGGTTGCGTATTTATATGTGTGTAAAAATGCTGTGAAGTTAGCTATGAAAATATTCAAGTCTGTCGAACATTTCAAAATTTTAAATTTAAACTATAAATACTGCAAATTATAAATAAGAATCGTTATACATTTTTATATTTAATTAAATTAATACTAATTTTCTGTTGAAACATTTTGCAAGTAAACAAAAATTTATAAAAAATTACAGTTCGTAATTAGTGTTGCCATCTGTCAGTGACTACATCGATAACGTAATTTAATACTTTAAAAATATGTTAATTTATTTTATTTCGTTATAATAAAATCAAATATTAAACAGTTTTTTTTATGAAATTGTAATAGAGTATTTGAAATGTATTATTATTATGTTTGTGTGTTAGTTAATAATGTTTGGTTTTATCAAAGAGTTTTGGTTTTATCAAATATTTATGAAATTTGTAGTGCTGAACGAAGTTAATCTTAAATTTGAATTTCGCGCAATTGTTCGATTCCCCTCGAGCGCACCGATTGTTTCCCTAGATGGACGCTGCCCAGTGCTGCCAGTACGAGTAGGTTAGGTTGCGTTGCGATTAGTAGCACCTCGCGATATTGTTGACATGTGCACAATTGCACAGGATGGCCCAATGCATAGAGTAACTGAACGTGGAGACATTCGTGTCCAATATGAGGGCTGCTCGAATCGGTGGACATTTCATCCTGCAGCCTTGGTTTGAGTGGATGGAACAGCAGGTACATCATCAACTATATACATATAATTAAATACCTAAACACTTTTTCATTATCTATTACGAATCTGTTATCTAGCTGCCCCAATAAATGGTGTCAACGATGGTGCATCAACATCAACTCGTCCCCATCAACATCAACAGCCTACAGGAAGGCAGACGTTCAACATCGGAGACAAAGTCAGGGTCATCTGCGATGCCCAAGCCGTCGGAACTTTGCAAAGAGGTCATGGGGAATGGGTCGAAGATATGCTGCAGGTAATTATTGATATGATATAATTTTTATTTTCTCTTTCATTATAATTTTTTTCTCAGGCTTTGATAAAAACAGGTGTAGTAACAAAAGTGTACAGCGACGGCGATTTGCGCATCGAGATTGAAAAGAAAACTTGGACTTTGAATCCACAATGTGTAACTTCACTAAATCTACCTTTAAATACATCAACATCACGTCAAAGATTAGCCACAATGAATCCAGAACGATGCAACAGCATGGCTGATTTGAGTCATCACAGGAACGAACCAGTTTGTAAGCGAAAACAATTGTTTAACATTATTTGTATTTATAATTTATTTGTTCCTAACGTTGCGTCACTTTTACAGTGACGCCTTTACCAGTTATGGCCAGCAGTACAGGTTTTGATAAATTGGTTCGAGAAGCTGCACAAGGCAATATGGATTATGTTCAGAAATACATAGAACAGCATCCTAATCAGGTAATAATAGATTTTTATATGGCTTATTAATGTATATTAACGATTGTTTTCTTTTTTTAAGGTGGATGCGAGAAGTGGTGGCAAATCTTGTTTGCAAGTAGCAGCCCATCAGGGTCATTTAAATTTGGTAAAATATCTATTAGATAAAGGTGCCGATGTGAACCAGACTGATAATGATAAGGATTCAACTTTGCATTATGCTGCTTTCGATGCCCTTACAGTCGGATGCACCATGAGGGTTTGTTGTGATCACCAGAAACTGGCGATAACTATAGAAATTTTCATGATGTGATTATAACTATATACACAATAACATACATAAAAATGATATAAAAAAATGAACAAAATCGAAGATGTTTCAAAGGACAATCCTCTATTGACTCATCTATTCAATCAGTATTATTATTATTGGCTTTTAACCTAAGTTCAAATGGCACTTGTGTAAAATCTCGACTATCCATTATCATTTGCCTTCATAACGATTCAATATATTCATCATAGGCCTCCTCACATCATATTTTTTTACCAAGGCTTTCCACTGCTCCATGTCGATGCTCATAATGACTTGCTGTTCATCATCCGAGTGCTGTTCATCAGTCCGAGACTTTTTCAAAGGCCTCAACCACAAGTCTTCATTTTCTTCAAAGAGCTCCACATCTCTATCTCGAACTAGAAATGACACTTGGAAAATATTGTCAACGGTTTTTCCAAAGTCTTTAGGATCTAGAACGATTTGGAAGTGTTTTATAGGTTTCATGTTGTTGTCTTTGAAGTGTTTCATAATTTGGCTCTTGACTTTTGCCAAAATATTTGCGGTTTCCTCCGTCTGTTCGGCCTTATCGATGCTATCAGGACAAGTAGATTCGATTTCGACGGGATCCTTTTGGGTCCTCTGCCGTTTCTGTCTTACTTTTATTACTGGTTTTTCAGAATTGAAAGTAGCAAACATACTGTGGCTGATCGGAGGACTTTTTGAACCCAACATGCAGAGACCGAAAAACACTAGCCATTGTTTACTCGAGGCGTTTACAATTGGTTTTAAACGGTTTGCTAATTTTTTGTCATTGTAATTGTTGATTTTTGTTTGGAGATTTTGGTTTACCCATTACAAGCTATGGTTGACGAACATGTAATCGGAAACCAAATCGCATGCATCCAGACAACATCCAGTAACTACGACTACAAAAAATCTGCAAACGGTTTAAATCGATTTGTACACGCCTCGAGTAAGCAAAGGCTTGAGTTATTCGATCCCTCCATGTTGGGTTTAAAAAGTCCCCCGATTAGCCACAGTATGTTCGGCACTTTCAATCCTGAAACACCAATAATAAAACTAAAGCAGAAACGACAGAGGACACAAAAGAATCATGTTGAAATCGAATCTACTTGTCCTGAAAGCATCGATAAGGCCGAACAGACCGAGAAAACCGCAACGATTTTGGAAAAAGTAAAAAGCCAAATCATGAGACACTTCAAAGACAACAGAACGAAACCTATAAAATACTTCCAAATCGTTTTAGATCCTGAAGATTTTGGGAAAACCATTGACAATATTTTCCAAGTGTCATTTCTGGTTCGAAGTAGAACTGTGGAGATCTTTGAAGAAAATGAAGATTTGTGGTTGAGGCCCGTGAAAAAGTCCGAGACTGATGAACAGAACTTGGGCGATAAACAGCAAGTCATTATGAGCATGGATAGTCGAGATTTTACACAAGTGCCATTTGTTAAATTAAAATTAAAAAATGTAACTTTTAAGGACACCTAGGTATGTCAGCAATACTTGCTGATAAATGGTGATATTTAAAATTACGTTCCCTACATCGCCAAACATCACGTGCATTTTTATTTGTGAGAAAAATTGTGAAATTTCTGTTAAGAAATAAATACTTGTGATATCTTACTAGACCCGTCCTTCAGCCACGTGATATTTCGTGATTTTTTGTCAAACCTTCCTATTCCCCAAAAAAAAATTCACAAATGGACGCCCATAATTTTGTGTTTTCTCGACCTTTGAAGTCATTCTGGATCGAATGAGATCAATTTTGGAATATTATGCTTGTGTGTGTGTGTGTGAGAGCTGATTTTTGGCCTTTTCTCGTAAACGGCTAGACCGATTTTAAAAATGTAACTATTATATTAAATATATATTAAATATAAATTAAAAAAGATTATATATATATATATATATATTATTTATATATATATATATATATTATTTATATATATATATATATATATATATATATTTACCTTTATATATCTTTATATATATAACTTCTTTAACATATATATTTATATCAAATGTTGTCAAATAGATTACAATAAATATTGTAACTTTGTCTAATATTTATAAGAATTATATAATATATATATATATATATATATATATTATATTGGAACTTCAGCCAGAATTAAAATAAAAATCTTTATTATTTTCAATATAAAGAAATACATGATCTTTTTTTTCCAAAAGCATTTGTTTTGTCAACACAAGCAGAAAGTTTCCGAATCATTCAATTCGGATGCTTATTTCTCGCAAAAACTGACATTTTTTTGTGCATTTAGCTTGGTATCTCCAAAACGGCTGAACCTACCTTTTGAACAAATTGAATGTTTTTCAAATCATTCAAATCCGATTTTCCGATCTTTCAAAAACTCGATTTTTATTTTCTGCACTCTTTGCTCCGTATCTCCGTAAAGGCTGGACCTGCCTTTGCCAAAAACTTATCAGCACATCTCTCTATCAATAGGATTCGAATGTTTTTTGAACCATTTAAATCGGTATGCCAAAATGTTCAGAAACCTTCGAAACGTGAAGATATGCAAAAATTTTCTATTTCGCTTTTTGGACGATTACAATAACTTATCCTACGAATATTTTCAATAACATATTTGTACGATTTCAAATTGTCAAATATCTTTGCCGTAATATTTTTAGTCATTTAAGAAAATTAATGAGATTTTTTCCAATCTTAACGTTTCAGAGGTTTCTGAACATTTTGGCATGCTTTAGAAAAAAATAATGTTGCGTTTCGGAATGTGTGTGAATGAATGGTGAAATTCAGTTTCAGTGCATGTACATCATTATTCTTTGGGGCAAGAATGTATATATATATATATATATATATATATATATATACAGGGCCGTGCCTGGCCAGCGTGCAGTGCTCTTAAAACCTTTACTCTTTGTTGTGCATAGTTCTCGAATCAAGAAAAGGTTTTCTTCGAGTAATGTTGACAAACTACATCGAGGAAGAAAATAGCAAAGAGTATAATTACCAGAAGAATTTTATTACTGTTTAAAATTTGTCTTGTTAAATATTAATGTGGAAATGATGCATACTTTTATCCATTTATTTTAAAACCACTGCATGATCTAACTAAAAAAAAATTAAAACTGAAGAAGTTCAACAAAACAATATTTATTTATAAATATATTATCATAACAACCAAGTTAAAAATAAAGTTTAAAATTTGTTTCTTTTAGCTCATAATTCTGTACCATTCCTTGCAAGTCTAGCAGCCATTTCATTTCCAATTACATCACTTATGTCTTCCACATATGTCTAAAATATTTTTGTGAATGTATCAAATAATTTAGCAAATCAAATTAGAAAATACGTACCCATTTTATATTCATGTTTACAATTTCTTGATCAAGTTCTTTTAAATAACGTTCATTTTCCATTAGAATACCCTTACTAAACGTAGAGGCTTCTCTTTTCCAGCGATCGTTTGCCCAACAGGTAAATGCATTTACAAGAAGTTGACACAGTGTGTAAATGCATGCCTTATATTCACCTAAAAGGCACAAAATATAAACAAAATAGTGCCGGATAAAAAGAATATTTATATAGATTTTTAAACCACCATGACGCTTTAATATTCGAACTGCTTTGGTGGTTGCTCGGATTTCAGCACACATGTTTGTTGTTCCATTACAAGGCTCCCAGACATTCCTTTTGAGGAAAAAAAGAAATTAGTAACAACTTTTGATAGTTCTATATATTTATACATACAGATGATGTTCTTCTCCAAAGAATACAATAATTCTCCCTGTAGTATTTGGTTCACCATCATTGTCACATTTACCACGAGTGTAAACCTTTGATTATAAAATAATGAATTGAATCAGTTGTACTATATAAATAGATATAACTGATTATAAATTACCCTTACAAATCCATCTTTGTCATATTTAAAAGATATATTAGGTCTTCCTGATATGTTCGATGTGGAAGGCAATTCATTTTCCTGGATGATGGATGCTTTACGCTTTCTGGGAACATTTATTGATTTTGGTTGTATCGCCGCTCCTTCGGAAGGCCCCATTCCTTGCTGAAAAGAATGCATTCGAATTTAAGTGTGGACTGTATTGTTGAAATGGTAATGACATACCATATTATTATCTTGGGCCGGTTTTGAGCCACCATTGTTTTCAACATATTGCATTGCTTCATATTTAGAATGAAACATTTTAAACTTGACGCCTTCAAAATTTACTACTTGCTTCAAACATTCATCCCTATATAAATGAATATAAATGATGTAAACTATTAAATAACATGTGACACTATCACAGGTTAATGCATTTTTTACATACCATGACTCATAGACTCCTGGCTTAAATCCTTTAGCAACTGCATAAAATGGCATGTTGACTGGATGATTGAATATTCAAGATTTTCGAATGAATATATGAATAATGAAGAAAAGACTGGTGGCCCGGTTGCCCTTCAAATAAACCGTTTATGGCTTACTTGTCTATGGTAAACATATTGCCATATGACGTTCTATCGAATCTGAACTTGTTCAAATTGAAGTTCGCTTCAGGTTTAAAAACCGTTGATAATTCAATTGTCCAATATTTAAAATTATTTAAATAATATTCAAATTTAATTAACATAATTTTTTCATATTAAAAGTTTTAATCGTAAATTCAGTGTTGACGTTGCAAAGACATTATATTACGAATCGAGACGTTTTTGAAAGTTCCTTTATACATATACATATATAAAAAAAGCACAAACAAAAGGAATGATACGTCTTCGATATGTGAAAGCTATAAAATATTTAAAAATAATGTTTTAAAAATCATGGAATCTAAGTAACAGTTTTTCTTATTTGTCCACACATATAATTCAAAAGCAACATCAATGAAAAAAGAGTGCTCGTAAGGTTCGCAGGCGTTTGAAGTAAAATTGTTTTGTTCTCGTACGAGATGGCATTTGAGTTAAAAATAAATACATCATATAACAATTTATCCGCATACACACATACATCCATTTTTTCTAAGGTTTGCCAAAATGTTCAGAAACCTTCGAAACGTGAAGGTATGCAAAAATTTTCTATTTCGATTTTTGGACGATTACAATAATAACTTACCCTACGAATATTTTCAATAACCTTTCCGATTTCAATTGTCAAATATCTTTGCCGTAATATTTTTAGTCATTTAGGAAAATTAATGAGATTTTTTGCCAATCTTAACGTTTCAGAGGTTTCTAAACATTTTGGCATAGTTTAGAAAAAAATAATGTTGCGTTTCGGAATGTGTGTGAATACAAATATTCGTCGACGATTTCGGGAGCATGGATCAACCGAAAAAAAATTCAATTCGTGTTTACAAGGAAACGTGCTGATTAGTTTTTGGCAAAGACAGGTCTACCCGTTCTGGAGATGCAGAGCAAAAAGTGCTAAAAATTACAGTTTTTGATGACGAACGATGCAAAAACATTTTGCTTTTGGGTAAGGCAAACATATTTTATTTATTATATATATATATATCTTATATATAAAATTCTTCTGTAACAATGTAAGTTTCATATTTCCTCCTAAACTATAATTCGGATTTTCATGAATCTTCCTGAAGTTTGTTCGGGAAATTTTTTAGAATGTTTTGATTCATAGAAATATAGTTAAATTGTAGAAATAAATAGAAAAAATTACAAAAAACCGCTTATCATTGTTTGCCCTTGAAAATATTTGAAGCTTAGTTTGACATTAAAAACAATTGAGGACTGTCATTTGCCAAACATTTCTATTCACTTATAGGCTAAGGCAATATTAGAATATAATAAATTCATAATTATGAATAAGGAAAATGTAATGTCTACATTATTAATGCCGAAAAGCAGCTGAGATGTGCCAAAAATCAAATTAATATAAGATGCAAATAATATAACATGCATTTGACAAGTGATGCAGTCTGCGCATGCGTCTGACGTGCGCGTGGTTTGCTTTTGCTTGCAATAATTTTGTTTGCGCACTTTGCGAACAGATTCGCCGTACGAATTCGCGCAAAGAAGCGAGCCATAAGTGATTGCGCTCAAACATATTCAATTTGCAGTCGTTTTGCCTTACTATACTAAGTCGCAATACAAAAAAAATTATTTAGAAGTTTCATTGTGTCAAAAATTCATATGTTTGTCATTGGGTACGGAATATTTACTCAATGGAGCGCTTTCGGTCTGAACTTTTTTTTACTGTTTTCCATTTCGTTTGGAATTTTGGAAATAGGCTCATCTTACTCTCAAGTTCAAAAGTGAAAACAATTTAGACTCCTTTACCACTTCTCGGGTGGATGACATTTCTTTTCAGTGGTGTAATTTTACTTTTTTCAAAATAACGTTGGGTATCGATAAAAGAACTAATTATACGAGAAAAATATTTAATAATGTTTTTCAAAAAAGGAAATACTTTTCAAGTTACTGGCTACTGAATATTTGTTTCTTTTTTGCGTTTTTCATCATTTGTTGCTAACACCTTCAAAAATATACATTTTAACGAAAATCATGTAATGAACAGAATTATATCAATTAAAATCTTAATAAAACGTTATTTTATAGTGTTTTAGGAACATTATTAGGCTAGATATGAAAATGGGTTTTTATGTACTCAAAATAAGCTTTAAAATGAGTACTTCTGCGTGTAAAATGAGTGAGCTATCATGCAGATAAAGGACGCATGCAATGTTTTTTTTTTTCATTTAAATCAAATACTTTGAGTGCCATATCCACCAAAATTAAAAATAATCGTATTCAATCTAGAATTAACTTGGTTTAAGAGATCTTGATGGATTCTAGAAAATACCACAACTTTAGTACAAATGATTCTTAAAAAACTCATGATTTCATGAAAAAAAAAACATTTTAAAAAAAACAACCAATTTCTCATCATAATACCTCTGAAAGAATACGTATAAAAGTATATATATAAGAAAATTCGAGGTATTTTTCTGACTAATTATTATTGTTTATTATTTTTTCGTTACACAAATATTGATAGATGTATGATTAATTAAGGAGCTGTCCAACCAGAGATCTTTCGAGCCCTTTAACCCTTCGCCGTTTTACAATAAGAGAAGTTACGGTAAAATTAATGATAGAGAAAGTTGTAGCTCATTTAATCACCTTTAAAATAGTGTATTACAAGTTCTGATAAAATCAGAATTAAAAGAGTAATAATCCAATTAATGCTGTGGATGGTGACGGAGTGCAAATTGTTAAAAACATTGAAATTAAGATAAAGATTAGCCTATTTCCAAAATATCAAGTAAATTGGAGCACAGTAAAAAAAATTTACAGAGCAATAATTTTGTTGATCGTAAGTTGAATAGAGCACATGTGAACAGGATTTGACAAATTAATTCACTTCAAATATAAACTTAAGCAATAATGTATATTGATTTATTAGAGAAAAAAATGCAATTTAGATATTAAAATTAGCCAGTTAAAATATGGTACAAAATTATAAAAATTATAGGCAACATTATTGAAGCAATTATTTTGGGTGAGAAAAATAAAAGGTGATATTGCACCTTTGCCGCGAATGCTATATATTAATTCTTTCTGAATTTGTTGTACTTTTTAAAAGATTTCAATTTTCAACATGAGTATCTTATGCTATGACCATAAATCAAAAAAGCAGACGATCATTTTTAGTGTGATAAATTTGGAAAATCAATGTTTTAGTCGTGAATAAACAAAAAATCATTCATTTATACATCCACTTCTACAGGTATGGCTAAAAATACTATATAACCCTTAAATGCAATAAAATAAATTGAGCTATTGGAAATAAATTTGTTCTATAAATCGCAGTGTATAATTTTTAATATACAATTTTATTGAACATTTTTTAATATTTGTTAAATAAATAATTAAAGTGTTAACTGTGGGAATTGAGAACAATCATTTTATTTGAAACAGTTCTACATTCAACATCACTTATATATTGGTGTAAATAGTAATTCAAAAAACAGTAATTATTATTGAAGTAAAACTTCTTTAGGCGCGATATGGGTGTAAAAATTTTTAGGCGCGACACGGGTGTAAATCCGTACAAATGCAACGAAAACGCCAACGTGTAGTTGAACACTACGACGCCGTAAGCGCTGATGTCGCGAGTATCCACTCCCGTCATGTCATGCGTAAGTCGAGCGCTAAACCCGCTAAACCCTATATGAACTTGCATTAATTGAATCACGTTTTTTTTTACAAAACAAGAGGTTGCTGTATTATGTCCTCATGGAATAAGACTTTTTCTTAGAGAATACACGTGTCATGGAATATAATAAATTTATATTGAATCTCGTTGAAGACAAAATAATATCTACTGCCACGGATATTTATGTAGGTTGCCATGCGACAGATCAACAATCATACATTCGTCAGCAGTTTCAAAAAAATCGGTTATTGATACCGGGGCTTTGCCGTATGAAATAATTTTAGTTCTGAATAAATTTTACATAATAACAACTAATATCGATGTAAGTGATGGCTTAGCTAATGGTTGTGTAGGAAAATTAGTGTACATAGAACGTGGCGATAATGATGAACTTCTACGTTTATGGTTTGAATTTCCTGTAAGCGGGTTTGAATTGATGTTATGTGATTATTGAAAGATGATTTTTAAAATTCAAATATGATGTTTTTTTATTTTTTATCTTAATTGCCTACTCATACAATATTAAAAGTTTTACTTCAATCGCGTGTGATCCTTACGCGCACTCTTTTTTTTTAACTAAGCAGTAAATATTAGTATAAAATATTGAAAAATTGTAGACGTAGGTACAGAACAACGTCTGTCGGGTCAGCTAGTATATATATATATATATATATATTAATAATTTTATTATATTTACCCCAGATAACAATTCAAGTTTGTTAATACATTCAGTTTCTGCCATTGTATTATTTAAATAACATAAAATACTATATACAGGTTGCTTTAAAATACACTTTAACTATAAATACAACTTATTACAAATAAGTATTGTTATACAAACTCATATTTAATTAAATTAATATTAATTTTCTGTTAAAACATTTTGCAAGTTATCAAAAAATTATAAAAAATGACGGTTCGTAACCAGTGTTGCCATCTGTCAGTGACCACATCGATAACGTAATTTAATACTTTGGTAAAATTAAAATTATAATAGTAATTAAAGTTTAAATATAAATATTAAAGTCTAAAATAAACATTTATATCAATAAATTGTTTATATAAACGTTTATTTTAATTTATAGTTATATTTAGCAAAGTTTTTTTTTGCGGTGTGAACATTGTCTAACTTCAGCTTTATCTTAATATAGCCAAGTACAAAAATTCACATTTAGTCAAGTTGTCTTTATAAATCGCAACATGAGCGTGAGTGCTTTTGCACGTTATTAATTAATTAAAAACATAAATAAAACACAAAATAAACCATCACCAATAGTTCTGTAACACTTGTGTTAATTGTGTTTGTTTAATACTACAATATGCTAATATTTGCTATTGATAAGTTAACAAAATAAAATTTGACAGTTCGCTCAAGACAAATACGATAAATCAAACTTCAAATATAAATAAATCTTCAGATTATCATTTCCAATGATTCATCGATCCCCCGAACTGATTATGTATTCAGTATTGAAATCTGATTAGCAAATGGATATGAATCACCAGATAATTGAAATATCTTTCATTTCAAAAAATGTTCTGTGTAGACAAAACGAAAGTGTTTGAGTGATGATAGTGAGTAGTAGTAGATAGAATTCTAATAAATACTTTTGGTTGAAGTAATTTGTGTGTGAAATATGTTAGCACCTGGGATAAGGGTTGTTAGAGGTCCAGATTGGTCTTGGAATAATCAAGGTAATATTAATATTTTGTAATGTAAGTTATGTAGTCATCGATGAAGTATATAAGGCACACAGTTTGGGTCAATCGAGTACTTATATTTAACTGAATAGTAATTTATTAGCATTAAATACAACATGCAGCCATTAAATGCTTCACGTCTAGTGAATTTTTGTTAAATTGCATTTAATTGTACTTTTGAAAAGGAGCATTGAATATTTCTATACGAGCTCCTTAAAATAAAGTAAATCAATTAATTCATATAATACAGTAAATAAAGGCTAATTATAATCAGTATAATCAAAGTAAATTTATTTTGTGTTATGTTAAATGTTAATAAAAATAGCTCAAAGTCATCCACTAATTTGTCAATGAAGGCTAGGTAATGGACAGACAATTTTATTGAACTATACGTGGAAAAACAATAGTGATTAGTTGAATATTATAATACCATATAAGGATTGTATTTTAATCTTTTTCAATTGAACATTTCTATTCGAGTCCTTCATGTTAGTAAGTTTCTATAAAAATTCTTTTTTTATTGATATGAATTTGTGGAGCATTGAATATTTCTATACGAGTCCCTTAAAATAAAGTAATTCAATTAATTCATATAATACAGTAAATAAAGGCTAATTATAATCAGTATAATCAAAGTAAATTTATTTTGTGTTATGTTAAATGTTAATAAAAATAACTCAAAGTCATCCACTTATTTGTCAATAAAGGCTAGGTAATGGACACACAATTTTATTGAATTATACAAGTAAAAACAATAGTGGTTAGTAGAATATTAATAATACCATATAAGGATTGTATTTCAATCTTTTTCAATTGAACATTTCTATTCGAGTCCTTCATATTAGTAAGATTCTATAAGAATTCTTTCTTTATCGATATGAATTTGTGGAACATTGAATATTTCTATACGATTCCTTTAAAATAAAGTAAATCAATTAATTCATATAATACAGTAAATAAAGGCTAATTATAATCAGTAATCAAAGTAAATTTATTTTGTGTTGTGGTAAATGTTAATAAAAATAACTCAAGTCATCCACTAATTTGTCAATAAAGGCTAGGTAATGGACAGACAATTTTATTGAACTATATGTGGAAAAACAATAGTGATTAGTACAATATTAATAATACCATATAAGGATTGTATTTTAATCTTTTTCAATTGAACATTTCTATTCGAGTCCTTCATATTAGTAAGATTCTATAATAATTCTTTTTTTATCGATATGAATTTGTGGAGCATTGAATATTTCTATACGAGTTCCTTAAAATAAAGTAAATCAATTAATTTATATAATACAGAAAATAAAGGCTAATTATAATCAGTAATCAAAGTAAATTTATTTTGTGTTATGTTAAATGTTAATAAAAATAACTCTAAGTCATCCACTTATTTGTCAATAAAGGCTGGGTAATCGACAGGGAATATTATTGAATTATACCTGTAAAAACAATATTTATTAACAAAACCGTATAAGGGTTCTATTTCTTTTTCAATTAAACTTTTCTGCTCATAATAATGTAATTGAATTATTTTATCTAATAGAAGCAAACAGTAAATAAAGGTTAGTCTCATAATAGAAATAAAATATTTTATAGTACACTTAGTAGCTGAAAGTAAACACACAAACATTAATTTATCATAAAGTACTCCATGATAAAGTTTAGTCAATCCTCAATAAATTTCATCCAATATTCATTTTAATATCGATAGTTAGTAAAAGAATATTAATAAGACTCTGTAATAATTTTAATCGATATGAATTTGCAGAGCATTAAACATTTCTATTTGAGTCCCTGCATACATTAGTTTGTCAATAAAGACTAGGTAATCTACAGGGAATTTTATTGAATTATACAAGTAAAAACAATACTGGTCAGTAGAATATTAATAAGGTCATATAAGGATTGTATTTTAATCCATTTTAATTGAACATTTCTATTTGGGTCCTTCATAATAAAGTAATACAATTAATTTATATTCGAACAGTTAATAAAGGTTAGTCTAATCAAAATTGTAAACCTTATTCATTTTGTATCGAATTAATTTTAAGAACAGTAGTGATTAACAGAATATTAGTAAGACCATATAAGGATTCTATTTTAAACCTTTTTAATTAAACATTTCTATTCGAGTCTCCATAATAACCCAAAAATTGTTCTATTCATTACATCGAGTGAAGGAAATTGTCTATTAGTTTTATGTGGGAAGAGAAACATTACTAAAACTAACAATTATTAAAATCAGAATTGTCTTTTAACAAATTACAAGAATAAATCATACTAGAATTCTGTTTTAATCGAGATGAATTTATAGAGCAATGGAGATTTTTATTCGAGTCCCTCTAATCATATAACTTAAGAAATTTGTAAGGACATTATGAAAATAATTTCAGGAATAAATATATCATTAGAATTAATTTCTTATATAAGTTCTGGAGTTCCCTAAAAATAATTTATTTATAATATATATACACACACTGAATAAAAAGTTAATGTAAATACTATAAAATAGTTAATACAAAGTAATTAATATTTAAAATTGAATAAATCCATGTGTATAATACACACACATATATATATATATATATATATATATATATATATATATATATATATATATATATATATTTAATTTTGAGTCATTGACTTTTATTATCTAATCTTATTGTTATATTTGTAAAATAATAATAACATGCACAATGTTATTTACAATTGTAGCACCTGTATCGAATTTTTATTTGTTGACACAAACTATAAAATTTCATAAACATAAATAACGAGTCGTTGAACCATACTCATAAATATAAATATATATATATATATATATATATATATATATTTAAATTTAAAATTATATTTATAAATAGATACTTTCCGTATCCGTTTACCAAACAGGAAAGTCATGTTAGGGTAGGTCATTGGTATAAAAAAAACTTATGACTGAAGAATCTAAGGGGAAAATCTATAAATATATATATATATATATATATATATATATATATATATATATATATATATATAACATATGTATGCACATGTTTTATAAAAATAAATTCTAAATATAAAATTGTCAAATCATATTACGTCCTTTTTAACTTTCCTTAGGGTAAATTATTGTAATCGTCCGAAAATCTAAATTGAAAATTTTTGCATTTCTCGACGTTTTGAAGGTTTCTGAACATTTTAGCATACCTCAGAAAAAATGGATGTGTGTGTGTATGTATGTATGGATACAATTTTTCGGTCACGTTTTCGGGCGCACGGATCAACCGATTTAAATGGTTCAAAAAACATTCGATCCCTATTGATAGGGAGATGTGCTGATTAGTTTTTGGCAATGGCAAGTCCAGTCGTTTCGGAGATACGGAGCAAAGAGCGCAGAAATAGAAATCGAGTTTTTGAAAAATCGGAGCATCCGATTTGAATGATCTAAAAACATTCAATTAGTAATGATTGGGAGAAGTGGTGATTAGTTTTTGGCAAAGGCAGGCCCAGCGGTTTCGGAGACACAGAGCTAAATGGCGCAGTTTTTGAGAGAACTAAGCGTTCGATTTAAATGATTCAAAGAACTTTCTGCTTGTTTCAACAAAATAATTGCTTTTGGAAAAAAAATGTTTCTAATTTTTTTTTCAAAAAATATTTTTGTAATTTTGGATTAAAAATTCAAAAAAATGCCCATGCTAAGCACAGTCTAAGCGCCACTCTGGTACAAATGTTTACCCGAGTGCGTTTAGACTGTTTATGTACTGGAGCGATTTTCCAATTTTGTGAAAACTATTGAAAAATGTGAAAATGCCGCCAAGCTAAGCACAGTATAAGTGAAAATGTTGCACAGAATTATTTGCAAGTGCGTTTAGACTGTGACTATACAGGTGCACTTTTTCAATTTTGTGTAAATTAGGCAACTATTTTTTTTTTAAATTGAATTCGAAATGAAATGACGATTGTTAATGTTCTGGAGATTGAATTGAATTGATTTATGATTTACATTTGATTTGCTCAGATATAACTAGATAGCAAAAATATTGAAAGTTACAGTATTTGTAATAATATATTTGAAAACGTTTAAAATTTCTCGAATATTTCATTACGGTACGGGAAGTTCCAGCAATTTGCCTTAAGACACGATGCCATACACCACTAGTTTAATATGAATTTATTTGAAACTTATTTTCAAGATTCGGCATTTACAAAATATTACAATTTTACAATTATCTATATATTAAAGTTATTCTAAAATAATCTGTATTAACTATTAAAAACTATTTTTTTGTATTACTAAACTATTTTTTTTTAATTTTTAAATTCAAGCTATTATATACTAATTTACTCCTCAGATATAATAAAACATTTTATCTACGTGAAAATTTCATATAATAAAATTATATATACTTGTTTATTATATTTTAAAAAAAATCTACTTAACGCCTTTTAATCTATATATGTTTGTGAGATTTAAATAAATTATTTAAATAGGTAGATTTTTACGAATCAATAATCACAATGAAAATATTTTTATATAAAGTTCATTCATAATTTATTATATCTACTTGTTGAATGAATGTAGGCATATTCTTAAATAATTATTAAAGTTCAACCGTTACTTTTATTTATTATAAATTCTTATGCGAGTTGATTCTGTTAATATTTGAATGGTTTGGTAGTTTGATTTGATAATAGACATTCATTTTTTTTTATTACATTAAGTGCAATTTAAGAAAAGCAATGTACTTCGATGCAAGGTTAAATGATGCGATTACACTCTAATTGAATGACCCGAATGCGTTGACCTCACTCTTGATATAATAGTATATAGACATATATATATTTGTATATATATATATATATATATATATATATATATATATATATTAACAAAGTCTAGTAATCGGGCATAACATCAATAAAAAACATAAATTTCTTTCAAAAATTTATTCTAAATCCATACGTTTCGGCTATAATCCTAGCCTTCATTCAGTGGAAACTAAAAA